ATGAAAAATCAGATGTTTGTAGCCTTGGCGTGTTGTTATGGGAACTTACAAGTGGAATTCCTCCATTCAGAAACTTATCAGATTTTAGAATGATATTGAATATTATAGAAGGAGGACGGGAAGATGTGATTACTGGTACACCCTCAGGTTATTCTGATCTTTATAAAAAATGTTGATCAGAGCCGAATAAACGCCCGAAGTTTTGGCCGATCTTGTTAAGTTTTCAACAAATACAACTTTTGAATTTATTGAGAATAAAATTTCAAAATGAAAACAATAAGCATGTGATAAAAATGCATTTATCTAATAAGGTAGTTGCGACTCTGAATCAATTAATATAAACATTTCATTTATATAAGATTTCAACAATCAATAAAAACCAAATATATATTTACATGTTTTTTAAATAAAACCCACTCTACATTAAGCGTGGTCACAGTACTTTTAAAAATTCTTTAATCCAGTGAATATAATCGAATTAGAATGCGTACAAACTTTCAAAAATTACAAACAATGATATTATATAGTAAGCATTTAACTATAACAGTAATTTTTTTTATTTTTTTATTTTTTTGTAATAATGGTTTGTCATCCAAGGAATTAAGTTTATTAGTGACATAATTGACTTTTTTGTGAAATATTATACTAATTGAAAAAAAAAAATTAATTATAACAATTCTTTATCATCGTCGTCTTCATCACCACGATTCTTGTCGTCATCGTTATTATTAATCTCTTCACAAATAATTTGCTTATTTGAATAATGAATGATTCTATTACCGATAACGTTATTTCTAAAACTATCAATAGTAATATTATTAGACATATTTTTTGCTCCTAACGTTTCAAGTCTTTCATACGATCTACGCCTATTTTGTTCAGCACGTAATATTTTGTCATATTCTACGTTAACGTATGCATCGATTTCTCTTATAGTTAATAATGATTAAAAAAAAAAAGGTTAGAATTCATAACTATAAAAGGTATATCGATAAAACCTTTTAATTTTAATACTCACTTCATTTCACCTAATTGCTGTTGATAATTTTCGTAAGCGATAAATTTAGAAATATTAAAAAGCATATCAAAAAACGGGGGTGCATTTCGTTTACACCGTTTAAGGTCTTTGAGAGTTATTACGTACGGATTCGAAGGTTTGATCAGGTCGAACCTATAATATTTTTTAAAAACAGTTAAAAAAGATGATTTTAAAAATGTCATAAATAAAGTTATCGTGATAATATAGTTAATAAATTATGAAATTTACATTTGACAAATACAATCTTTAAATTTTATTGGTTCTATGCCAAAAAGTCTCATACGATTTAATTGTTCTTCATAAAACCATTCAAGCTCGTATACGCTTAAAACACCATCACCATCATTATCTAAACATCGAAACCTTTAAAATATACAAAAAAAATTATAATTGAAATCTAGATAGAAGTTTTATAACAGGAAGTTTTTGTAAACCTACCAATATTCAATAGATGTATTTGTAGATTTATCAACTTCTGACAAGAGAAACCCTAGAAATCGTCAATTACACTAATCGTAAGCAACATTTTATAAAAACAAATAAAAAAAATAAATTGACACTCGATATTACATATAAAATCCCTATAACTCATTTTTGGATTATTCGAATCATATTCTTTCATCGACAAATCAGTCGTTTTTCCGTATCCGTGTATTACGCGATCGATTATCCTTGAAGTTAATGCATTATCAGAATATCGAGCAAGATCTTTCTTGTTTATACGTAAATCGTAATCATTATCAAGTTCCCAAAATTTACAATATATTACATAAAAATGGTTGTATGAAAAGTAGCTGCAAGTCTAAAATAGAATGTAAAATAATAATAAATTTCAAAAAAAATATAACGATAAATTAACAAAAAAATTTGTTATCAATTAATTTTAACTTACATTATTTAGATCAATTTTGGATTCTAACTTTCTCAACATTCCTGGTAAATCTATTCTTTTAAATTCTTTATAAGTCATTTTGCCGGTCCAATTGCGATTGTAATCATAAAAAAGTCGACAAATTACAGTTTCGACTTTAAAAAAATGAAAATAAAAACAAGTTAAAATAATTTATTCAAAAATATAACGTAAATACTGTATGTATGTAAATGTGTATACCATAACGTTCTCGAAATATGATATTTTTCCTCAAAAATTCCAAACCGGGATGGTTCATTACGATATCTTCAAGTTGAAAAAGTGAATCATCATTAACAATTATAATTGATTTTAAAGCAACAATCATATATTCTTAATATACCTTTTAAAACTATGACAAAATTATCAATGGTCAAATAATTATTCTTGTCATTTCTTAGTATATTAAAACATAATGAAGCTTCATCTTTTGAAATTTTTATAAGCATTTTCCATACTCTTAAAAAAATAAAATAAAATAAAATAAGATTAATTAAAATGGATAGAGATAAGTAATCGAAAAATTTAGAAGGATTCTGTTACCTCTCAAAATGTACCAAAGTTATACGTTCATTTCCACTTCCATGCTCAAACATTTTACAAAACAACGCCGCGCTCATATAACGAGGTAAGCCACATTCTCTTGTGATTAATCCAAAGTGTGACCTATTTAAATAATTATTTGAAGATAATATTTCCCGAAGCTTGGTCTAAAGAAACAAGAATTAGAATATGAAAGATACATTTTTATTGATAAATTTTGATTTATTATAAATATATTACCAAAACAGATTCAAGTCGAGTTTCTTGAATTTTGGATATAACCGGAAAATAAAACCGTGGAATTACAGACATCTATTATATTCATTACGAAAAAATTCGATAAAATTCGATATAAGTATAATTTCGAAAGTACACGTGACAATATACACCTTATCAACCGAATTACTTACTGTAATAGCTTTGGTGTTCATCTTATTTGCACTAATACGTGGTTCTCTCGTTTCAAAAGAATTATTAGTGCTATCAAAGGATGACAATGAGAAATATGGGGATTTATTGACGGACGATGATTGAGAACGTTGAAATTTTTGATTATTATTATTATTATTATTATTATTATTAAAGCGAGTATTTGTTGTTGACGTTCCAATGAAACGTGGCACATCTTCTATTAGTAATATAAATTTAGTGAGAAAGATTTTTATCACAAACTCTCTCTAAAAAAAAATACAAACCTGATGATTCATTAATTGTATCCAAACGCCTAAATCTTTTTAAATGCCTAAGGTTCGAAATGTTAAAAGATTGATCCGTATTTGAATTAGATGAAATAGATGATACTAAATTAATTGAATTAATTGAATTATTTTGGTTAATTGAGTTAATTGAATTAATTGGTAATTTATTAATAAAGATATCATTTTGAGCACTTGGTTGACCAGTAGTTCTTGAAAGCATTATTGTGGCTTTAACTTAAAAAATTACGTGAGATCGTAATAAAAAAAAAAAAAAAAAAGATCGACATAAAAAAAAAGATCAAGATGATTGAAAGAAAAATATTTTCAATTGTTTAAAATATTTTGCATAAAAAAATTAAGATTACTTTTCACACGATTAATATAAGCAAATAATTTATTATATTTATAAAAAAAAAAAAAACTTTTCACGATTTAAAAATTATAGAATAAAAAAAAAGACCAAAAAGAAAAAAAGAAATCGAGAAAATTGGAAGGTCGGTTTGTTTTATTTGTTTTTCGAAGGAAGTGCATCAAATATTAATATTATATTTATTTTACGTAAATAACTTTGTTAATTATAAGTTTAGGCTAATGATACTTAAAACACCCCTAACTATAAAAAAAAAAAAAATTAATGCTTAACCCCTTAAGAGTCATTATTAAGAGAGATTTTACTAATTATTTCAACATTTGATATCCAATCAGAAATAAGGAGTATATAATTCCCATTTCAAGTGAGTGATTTGAAACGTGAGAACTTGCTTTTAATACTTTTCACTTATGTCATTATGTATATAGTTAACGAACAATTATCATTATCGACACGCGCGGACCTGACACTTGGATCATACTTCTAAATAAGAATTCCATGTGTATTATTAATACAGTAATAGGTTTAATTGGTTACTTTTTATAAACTTTACTTATCGTTATCTAACGCTAACCACGAATTTTGATCATATTAAGCAGTTTAATGTTAGTTATAAACGTCTTATGCTGATGACGATGAATTCTCGATGTGATCTTTTTTACCTTTTTTGATTCTTCAATAACGACAAATAAGCTATTGTCAAAAGACAATACACAAATATATATCTTTAATTGAGTTAAAAATCTTGTTTAGCCGGTTAATTTTAATTCTTACTAACTTAATTCCTACTAGAATCAGTACATACAAAATGATTGTAATACCAAATTGAGTACGTATAATACTTTACTATTATTAGGAAAACTGGAATTTTAAAATGTTTGTAATAGTGTTTTCGGCTAAACTACTTTCAATATCCGAAATATTTATCCAATAAGAATTAATTGCTGTTTAGTACGTACAGTACAGTACAGTATATTACGTTTTTAACGCTAGTTTTAACGCTAGTGGTAATAACTCGTCCTGGCGAATATTTCGGATTTACCCAAAACACTAGATTATAATGCGTCGGTAAGTCAATTATGAAATTCTATATTAATTATTGTTTAATATAAGTTTATAATTCTAGATAAAATCATAGCAACTAATATTGAAATTATATTATGCTAAATTTCTACCAGAATTGTGGACCTTTCTAAACCAGTTTGCCTGAATTACAAATTTATTTCTTAAAAAAAAATTCAGAAACGTTGTGTACATAATTGCCATTTTTACGATTTTAAAAATAATACTAATAATAGAATTGCTATAAGCGACAAGAATCTTCCTTGGCTTGATTCCTTAAACATAAATTTTAATTCGAACTATATATTGAATATTTTGAAACTTTTCTAAATTATGGTTGACGTAACACAATGAATTTTTTCATTTATTGAAGTTTTAGGAATTAATTGCTAGAGCTTGGATCCGTTGTCCGGTTTCATATTAAATTTAATGGATCCAAGCTCTAGTATTTTCACATTCTTTGCATACTGATTATTCTTATGACCAACCAAGTTATTCTTACCTAACGGTACAATCAAAAAATGAATCATATCTTAAACTCTAACTGCGAACACAAATATGTTTGTTCAATTTAATATTGTATTGTTACTGTCTATTCCATGTTTTCATGTTTAATGGGTATTATTATTTTGTTAAGTCAATCAATATAAATATATAATACTATATACTTAATAATTAAATAATAATTTACTACTAGCAGACATGTGCCCGTGTTTATGAATAAAATAAATATTAGATTATCGTAATTCAGCCTGGTTCATCCTAGTTTCTGATAAGACCGATCTATTACAGCTGTTTTTATAAATTTTGGAACAACTGAAAAATTTCTGATGACTGAATCAATAATCAATTCAACCATCAAAAATTATTCAATTGTCCCAAAATTTATGAAAGCAGCTGTAACGCTTTTCTGCCCGATCTCGGTCCTCAAAACGATTCTCATTTTTTTGGGGGGATTTACAAATAAGGACCTGAAAAGTGAAGATAAGGGCCCAAACTAAAAAATAATTACATATAAGGGAGCTATCACTTATTACGTAATTATAGCCCCGGCTTACACATCGATTTACATGTCCGGATTAAACATTGCCGGTAATTTCCTTATGAGGCAATTTTGCTATAAATCCGTAACGTTGGTCATACT